TGCCTCACTGGGCTCAGAGTTGGGCAGAAGGCAGCTGGACTTGGAGGCTGTGTGTGCCTAGCTGGACAGGACTGTGCATTTGGGATGGGGCAGCTCCCAGGCCTGTGGCCTCACTGCCCTGAACACCCTGAAATTGGGGGGCTACAGGCAGAGGGGCCAGTCCTGGACATCCCCCAGTGCCAAGGTCTGGTGAGGAACTGTGGACTTGGGGCGCTCAGTGGGATGGGATGGGGTGGGATGGCATGGATGGCTTGTGACAGGATAGGATGGGATATGATAGGACAGGGTGAGATGGAATAGGATGGATGGGGTGGGGTTGAATGGATCAGTCCAGCACTGCTTCATCAGGGCTCAACAGGGTCAGGCCCAGTGTCCTGGTGGCCACATGTTCCAGCACTGCTGCAGGTCTGGAATCCATTTGCCTCGCCGGCCATGGTGTTTTCCCAGCAGGGCTGGAGCAATCCCGTGGGGCTGGGGGCAGCCCTGGCCCCTGCCCCATCTGCTCCCTGTTTATTTTCTTACACTTAAGTATCACCTCAAAGATAAACACTCCCTGGTGTGGGGGGCAGGGGGCATTTCCCTGGCAGCAGAGGCAGGACCTAGCCCTCAGTGCTCAGTACCCTGATCCCACAATGCCCACTAAGAAGGGGATGCCTGGTTGGACTGGGGTCAGGGCTGCAACCCTGTGCTCAGGCCATGTCCCTTCCATGCTCTATCTCCCATGCAGGGTCCTGTGAATGCCTGACCCACTTCCAGGGGGTCAGTCACCTTGGCTGGATCAGCTGGGATAGCTGGAATGCCAAACCCCACCATGTCCTGGCACCCACTCAAGCTGGTAGAAGTTTTGTGATGCCACAGCCTCAACTGCACCTCGTGCTGCCCAGCTGAGTCAGAGCCCAGGCCACAGTGCTGGGGGAGATGGGGGGGACCCAGGCACAGGGCCTCACATCCTGTGAGGCAGACGCCTGCCAGGCAGCACAGGAAAACCCGGCTGCTGCCGTGCGTCCTCCTGCCCCACAGCCACAGCATCCACAGGCAGCTGGACAGGCAGCGAGCAGGCAGAATTCCCTGCTTCCCATGGCTCCTGCTGTTCTCCCAGTCAGGGATGACAGCTCCTGTCCATCCATCCTTCTGTGTGCAGCATCTGGCAAGGCAGGGGTAACACCTACACACGTCTGTGCCAATGTGGGGATGTCACTGCAGCGGGATGTGGTGGCATTTGGGGTTCACATGGCACCCACAGACACACATCCACATCCACGTGCAACTGCACAAACTCATGCACACACCCCCATACTCACATATATTCTGTGCACTCACACAAGGATATACACATCCATGCATGCTTGCATGTACAGATGTGTGCAGCTGCACACCCACACGCACATTCATGAGTGCACACGTGTGCTGCCCCCACCCCACACTGAGCCATCTCCTGCCTGCTGCTCCTTCCCTGCCTGTGCCCTGCCATGTTCCAGACCCCACAGGCCACCAGCACCCCACATGTGGCCATGCCCCCCAGAAAAGCCCCGGGGCAGCTCGGCTGGGTGTGGGGAGTGGGTGCCCCCCCAGCCTGTCCCCGTCAGCTGGTGGCCATGTGTGAGATGTGCAGCTGAGTACACAGCTCTTGCCATCCATCTTGTCACCTGTCAGGGCCAGAGGCTGCTGTGGACCCCTAGACATGGCTCAGCAAGACTCTGGGGTGAGAGGAGGGCAGAGTGGGGGTGCCCCTCTCTGTACAGGCACCTGCCTTCTCCCTGCCTTCTCCCCGCCTGCTTCCTGCCTGTCATGCCAAGGGCCTGCCCATCCCCAGCTTTGCCCCTGGCACTGCCTGCAGGTACCCTTTTGGGGGGGTCTGCACCTGGGCAGGGGTTACAGAAGAAGGCTGGGGTTCCTCATGGGAACTGATGAGAGAACTGGGAACTGGTGAGAGCTGTCAGTGTCACACAGTGCACATCCCTGCCCATCCTCATCCCCAGGAGGATCCCTGTCTTCTTGCTCAGCCCTGCATGTCCCCAGCCCCTGGAGTGGCCCTGCATGTCCCCTTCCCCAGCAAGACCACCAGCCCCCAGCCCATCTCTCTGCCCCCCACCGTGTGATTTACAGGCTCTGCACAGGCAGACAAATGGTGAAGAAAAACAGGGCAGGGGGTCCCGCCAGCCGGGGGCTGCCTGTGCCCCGCGGGGGGCAGAGGGGCCGTTTGCTCACAGCCAGCAGGACGGGAGGCAGTGAAGAGGTGCCGGTGCCAGGCAGCACAGCTGCCCCTGTCATGGTCCAGCAGCCACAAGCCCTAAAAGCACAAGGAGAGCCCATGGGAGGACCCAGATCTAGCTACCACAAGCTGCAGTCCTGCAACCATAGGCTTTTGGCCATGGGGCATTGAGGAACTTGATGCCACCCCATTCCACGGCCCCCAGGGCACCCCACTGACCACCTCACTGGGGTGTTTGTGATATACCAGCTTCATTCCATGGCCACCGTCTCAGCCCTGGCAAGCCTCCAAGATTTCCCCCAGCATCCCTCTCTGGCTGTGGAGCTGATGGACAGTGGGGACTGCAGCTGGCACTGCCACGTCTCCCAGCCACATCCCAAGCAGCCCTGGGGCCGTCTGCCAGGAGCCAGGTCCTGCCCTCCACGTTTTTGCTGCTTGATCTGGAGCATCGTGGAGGAGGAGGAAAGGGAGGAAGGCAGGCAGGAAGCCTCCCACCTGCTTGGCTCAGCTGGCTACCCCCCTGCCAGCTCCTTGGAGCGTTGGGCTCAGGGCTGGGGGGTTGAAGGCAGAGTGGGACCTGCATAGACCTCTCTGGTGAGGACGACCAGGGCCATAGTCTATGATATTGAGTGCCAAGGAATGACAGGGAGCAAGGGTCAGGCTGGGGGGCACCCCCAGCCCTTCCCAGGACACCGGTGATTCCTGCTGCTGCCAGCTCATTGCTCCCCTCTCAGGAAAAGACTCCATGTTTCCACTGCCGGCACACACCTTCCTCCTGGGCGGGAGGAAATGCTCCTGGCAGTGCTGCCTCTCCATGTCCCCCTGTCCCTTCCCATGATGGGCAGGCACGGTGCCAGGCCCTGGGAACAGAGGAGCAAGGAGCGCATCCCTGCAGCCTGCCCTTGCTGATCCCTGCTTGCCCCGGGCATCCTCCTGGGCACAGGCCCTGTCCCAGTGAGGCATGGCAGGATGTGGCCAGCAGCGTGTCCCCCACTGGCATCCCTCTGATAAGCACCCCAGGCACTGCACCAGTGCCACCCACTCCTGGTTGCCTTCACCATCCCAGCTCCTGAGCCCCATGCTCATCTCGTGCCACCCTGTGGGGGACACGCTGGCAAGCGACAGCAAGGCAGGGACTGGGGACATGCAGCCTGCGGGCTGACTGTGCGTGACACCACTCTGCAGGTGCCAGAGGCCATGGAACAGGCAGCACTTGTTGGACAGTGGCCCTGGCACCGCCACAGTTCAGTTACCACCGTGGGCATGACCTGGGGTCAAGGTGCCCGCAGCCAGGCTGGAGCCAGGCCAGTGGCCAGAGGCAGCGCTGGCTCTCACGGCCGGGGTGAGGACGCTGGCCGGAGCTCGGGGGCCGGCTGGG